GAAGCTAACGAATAATGCAAATAACTCCATTTTTTATCACATTCCAAGCGGCTAGCCATCAAATATTAATACCGATATCCAACTTTCAGTAGTATTTATTTGTTTGCCGTACAAATTCTTTAAATTAAAATCAAACAAATCAAATACAAATATTTAACTTCCAAAATGTATTAGCTACTATTTACTTACAGTAGCTTACAAAAAATAGCTGCCATCTTTTATTTACACTAATTTTGTTTTTATTTATTCGGCATTAAATTTGGAAGCAATAAATGCGGAATTTTCAAGTTCCATGGCAGTTCAACGTTGCTCTTTTTGTTTAGTTAAAATGCAGTTGCTTAGTTGTTTTGTTTATTTTTCGAGTCTGTGCCTGTTTTATATTAAAATAGTTATTTATCGCTCAATGTAAATATGGCAGAGGAGCGATAGATGAAAAAAGGAAATAATTGAATAAAAAAAAACGTGGCGAGTTATTTTTTTTGTCTTAAATTGTACGATGGATGGCATTGTAAGCTATTGGAATTTTCGGCCATATGTTATGCATTAGCGCAGCACATGTGCAACTAAATACTAAAAACACACTTATTTAGGCATTGCATTTTTAGGCTTCGAAAATCTGTACTGCAGCAACAAGCTTTAATTTGATGAACATATGGGCGGCAAGTCTTTATTGACTATGGATCGCAGAATGTTAAAACTCCAGAAAATAGTATGCATTTGAAAGGAAGTGAAAGGGGTTAATTTTAGAAAATGTTTGAAATAAATTTTTAAAATTGGGTAGGTTCAGAAGACGCATCAGTTGAGCGCAACCGTTTCTAAAAAAATCAGTGATCGTTATGCGTCTTCTGAACGGCTTGATGCATTAACTGTCAAATTCAACTCTCAAAGGTACACAGCAACATGTTGTCTCAAATGATCAGAAAAATATTACGAGCATCTAACACGCAGCTGTTGAGTTGATCAGTAGTACACAACAACGCATTCAGAAGGTAAAATCGCAACAGTTACTGAGCTGTTGCGCCTTCTGAACATGCCCATAAACAAATTAAGTTCTCGGTTTTTGTTCAAATTGAAAATTGTCTTTAGTGATAAAAAAGAGTAATGGTAATATCTTAGAGCTTTCCACTTTACTTAAGCTTACCATAACCAATCAAACTGAAACTGAAACAAAATTTTGGAACTCTGAGCGTATTCAAGAGATTTTAAGTTAGGTACTCTCATTTTTCCATAAGACGATTTCTGTCATTAAATGCCAAATTTTGTTCTACTGATCTCGTGCGTTTTTTCTAAATTTACAAAATTTGTTTTAAATACTAAATATATACATTTGCCCACTTATCTATTGATTTTTTTGCATATTTAGGTCACCTATTTCCCACCCTCCTCCCTCAACTTCATATTACTCTACTAAGCAGTTATTAATGCCTGCCGCCCACATGAAATGCCATTTTTCTTTCC